AGAACAGGAAAGGCAGACACCCAAGACACTGGAAGCTCAGCAGAACCAAACCAGTGACACAAAGTGGGCCAGAAGGGTGACCCTCACCTGGAGTCAGGTGAGCGGGGCTTGTTCAAACAGGGTTTCGAGCAGCTCTGCCCCTGCTTTCTGACTGCCTGTCTCTCTCGTGTGTGGGTAATGGGCTTCCAGCAAGGCCCTAAACCATCCACGCCAGAGAGTCCAGTGTATACCAGTGTAGGTCCCTGCCTGCGTCTTGCTGACAGATGAGTGAACTTGGAACAAATAACCCAGGGCAATGTGGAAGTACAGCTTGGTGCTTTTCTCACTGATCCCTAACTCTGATTTCCATTGGCTTTTCCTCGAGCTAATTGTAGAGATTGAATGGCAGCTCTTCCTGGAACTAAAACTAGAACGTTTTCCGGACCACTGCACTGCACAGCTCTGGGGCGCCTGGGCATATACATTTTGCTGTATGAAGAGTGCTCCTTGGAGCTGAGCCGGGCACAGCCTGCCGGGACGTGCCTGGGTCAGAGTGGGAAGTCTCTCGCAGGCTACCCAAAGGGAAGAGCAGGAACTGTCCCAACCTGTAGACCCTTGCCCACCTGAGCCAGCCCCACCCATGTTAATGGGAAACCAAGGCCTTCTGGGGGTCCCTGCTGCCCTGGGACTAACTCTGGGCAGCTCGGCATCCAGGTGCTCACGCCTCCCGCTCCTGTCTGGGCAGCCTTCTCTGTGACCGTGCTCACGCCCATGCTTCCAACTGCCAAACTCCCCTGCCTGTCTGAAGCCCATTCACCCTCAATTAAAAGGATTCAATTACAACTCGGGGAGGCAGGAGAATGACAGAGGACGTAAAGGAAAGAAACCTGGGCAGAAGATGCCGAAACAGGGAGAAAGAGAGGAGGATCACGTAGCAAACATCACCCCCACCCCTTCTTTCCGTATGTCCGTTTAATGCACACACAGAGTGCAGCAGCGCCAGGCATGGATCCCAGGCAGTCTGGGACCCGCGCCCTGGGCCCTTGCTCTTCACTGGTTGCACAAAGCTGAGCATGGAAAGGTGGAAGTCGAGAGAAAGGTGTGGGTGGCAAAGGTGGGCAGAGGCTCCCTGAGACACCATCCTCTTCTCCCCCAGCGGAGGCACTCACTATAGTGGGGAAGATTTCCTTCAACCCTAAGGACGTGCTGGGCCGTGGAGCAGGCGGGACTTTCGTTTTTCGGTAAGTGGCAGCCAGGAGCGGGGCTGGGGACGTGGCCGTCACAGCCCTTGTGGTCACCTTCCCTGGGAGAGCCATTCTTTCAAAGACTCCCCAGGTGGGTCCAGTTTGATCCCTCGCTCACCAGTTCCTGCCCTTTCCTTTATCTGCTCTCTGAACTCCCCTCTCCACTTCTTGGCCCCCTCCCAGGGGACAGTTTGAGGGGCGGGCAGTGGCTGTCAAGCGGCTCCTTCGAGAATGCTTCAGCCTGGTTCGGCGGGAGGTCCAGCTGCTGCAAGAGTCCGACAGGCACCCCAATGTGCTCCGCTACTTCTGCACGGAGCAGGGACCCCAGTTCCACTACATCGCCCTGGAGCTCTGCCAGGCCTCCTTGAGGGAGGTGAGTTGGGGACTCCGGGATGAGTGGGGAGGTCCTGGGGTAGAGAGTGATGCTTTGTTCCTTGCTGCTCCTCAGTACGTGGAAGACCCTGAGCTGGACCTCGGGGGCCTGGAGCCCAAGCTGGTGCTGCAGCAGCTGACCTCCGGCCTGGCCCACCTGCACGCCTTACACATAGGTACCCGCGTCCGCCTCCCGCTCCCACCCTCAACCCCCTGCCACCCCCCCTCCCCCTGACATACATACACGCCCAGCAGCCAGCTCCCTCTGCTCCCTCCCACAGTGCACCGGGACCTGAAGCCAGGCAACATCCTCATTGCAGGGCCCGACAGCCAGGGCCAAAGCAGGGTGGTCCTCTCGGACTTTGGCCTCTGCAAGAAGCTGCCTGCTGGCCGCTGCAGCTTCAGCCTCCGCTCGGGCATCCCAGGCACGGAAGGCTGGATGGCACCCGAGCTCCTGCAGCTGCTGCCCCCAGACAGCCCGGTGAGTCTTCTCACCAAGCGGTCCAGGCACACCACTGCCCCAGGCTGCAGGAGTCCCTCCCTGCTCCTGTCCCCTCCTGCCGAGGCTCCATGTCACTCGCTCTGTGACCTCGAGCCACTGCTCAGCGTTTCTGTTTCTTCATCTATAAATAAGGGGATAATTTGTCCTTTCTTACCTAGAGCAGTGGTTCTCAGTCAGGTACTATTTTGTCACCCAGAGGACATTAGGCGATATCTGGAGACATTTTTGGTTGTCATGACTTGGGAGGGAAGTGCTACTGGCATCTGGCGGGTGGTGGCCAGGGGCGCTGCTAAACACCTTACAACGCACAGGACAGCCCCCGACAAAGAATTAATGTCAGTAGCGCAGACGTTGACAAACTGTGAGCTAGAAAATGGTTTTCAGTCCACACTATGCTTCACAAACACTGGGAAACTTAGAAAAGATGCCCAGGTACCACACTCAGTGGTTCTGACCTGATTAGCCCAGGGTAGGGACCCAGGTGATTTTAATGTGGAGCCAAGTTCAACAACAGCTGATGGGAAGGCTTTGGGGAGCATCAGATAAGCTAATACAGTTCAAGCACAGAGCAGTGTCTGACCCACGCAGACATTTGAGTCTGAGACCCCAGGATTGTAGATTTTTGAGTCAGTGTGTAGGTAAAAGTTGAAATCATGGAAATATTTGACAGTAACTCAAAAGGACAGTCACTAGGCCAAGCCACCCCCACTCCTAAAGCAGAGAGAAAGGTTGAAATGACCTGGGGCCCCAGGTCTAAATGCACTGATGTCATGAGCACGCATGGTTTGTTTTTTAAATTAGTGGCCAATATTTTAACATTTGGGAAATTCCACATGAAAATCTGGATTTCTGGATTCTCTTTTTAAAAAATCGTCTCTGCCCCCCAGCAGAGTCCGCTGGCAACAACCAGCTGGAGTTAAGGACCAGAGGCCCCAAGGACAGGCCCGTGCCAGGTCACCACAGCCCTCACCATTGCCTCCTTCCTCCTGCCTGGCAGCTGCACCCGGTTATGTTACCTGATTACACCTGCAGGAACGAAGCTTGGAAACCCAAGCTAGAAGCTCAACAGGGCAGAGGCAAAGGTTTCGGATGAAAACCTTGGGCCTCTTCAGTGGTGCAGATGGGAGGGGATCTAGAGCAAGGAGACGCTGCCCAGGAAGCATCCTTGTGCTCCAGTCTGAGCCAGACCCCTGGCTGCCGTGTCATCCAACAGGACAATTTAGCCAGATTTCCTTCTCACATCCACCTCTCTGGCCCCCAGACCAGCGCAGTGGACATCTTCTCTGCAGGCTGCGTGTTCTACTACGTGCTTTCCAGCGGCGGCCACCCTTATGGAGAGAGCCTTTATCGCCAGGCAAACATCCTGGCAGGGGCTCCCTGTCTGACTCACCTGGAGGAAGAGGCCCATGGTGAGGGGGACCTGGCCCAGCAGAGAAGGGAGGAAGTGGGGTGTGAGGCTGGGCAGGCCTGAAGCCATCCCTCCTCTCCCACCCTGCAGACAAGGTCCTTGCCCGGGACCTGGTTGAGGCCATGCTGAGCCTTCTGCCGCAGGCACGGCCATCTGCTCAGCAGGTGCTGGCCCACCCCTTCTTTTGGAGCAGAGCCAAGCAACTCCAGTTCTTCCAGGTCAGAGGGAAATCTTGGGAGCGGCCCCCAGACGTCCCAAGTTTGGGTCCTGAGCAACAAGAAAGGGGATGCCAGATGGGCTGGGGGGAAACAGGAAGAGCTACCTGGTCCAGGCAGCCCGGTTCTTTGTCTAAACTAGGATGGAGCCTGGTCCTAAACTGCCATCCTGGCACTCCGTGGGCCACTGTTGCCAGCTTTGCCAGCCCCAGCTGCCCCTCGTATGGGAACATGCCCATTCTTTTCTGCCTGAATTGTCATTCATGCTGTGCCCGTGCTGATGGCCCATTCCACTTGTGTGACCTTGAGCAAGGGGCTTACTTTGTGCCTCTGAGCATGTTTGCTCATCTGTAGAATGGGGACAGCAGTACCTTCCTCTCAGGTTGGTGGTAAATAATATGGAGGTGTGGCACCAAGCCACACTCCCCAAGAGGCAACGATCCTCACCATCCTAAACCACCCCCCAAAGCCATACCACGCTCCGGGCCTTGCGGCCCTCAGTATGGTCACAAGGCTCAGGAGCTCTGTGGGGTCCTAGGATGTCAGCGACTGGCTGGAGAAGGAGTCTGAGCAGGGGCCCCTGGTGAGGGCACTGGAGGCGGGAGGCTACAGAGTGGTCCGCAACAACTGGCACAAGCACATCTCTCTGCCACTGCAGACAGGTAGAGGCCACATTCTGGTGGGCCTGGGAGGCTGAGGGAGCCCACTGGGGACAGCTTTGCCACCAGTTTCCCTGCCCACAGATCTGAGAAGGTTCCGGTCATACAAAGGGACGTCAGTGCGAGACCTGCTCCGTGCTATGAGGAACAAGGTGTGTTCTGGGGCCTGGGTGGGGCCTGGATCTCGGGAGGGCCTGGCCACAGCTGAGCCAGGGCTCTCTGCTCTACCCGCGCACCAGAAGCACCACTACAGGGAGCTCCCGGCTGACGTGCGGCAGGCGCTGGGCCAAGTCCCCGACAGCTTCGTCCAGTACTTCACGAGCCGCTTCCCGCGGCTGCTGCTCCACACGCACCACGCCATGAGGAGCTGCGCCTCTGAGAGCCTCTTCCTGCCCTACTATCCGCCAGCCTCAGAGGCCAGGGAGTCTTGCCCAGGGGCTGCTGGGAGCTGAGGTGGGCCAGGGGCCACAGTAGTGGCTTCCACGCTGGCCAAGGAGTTGGCCCCGTGGCTGAGGCTGGCCTCAGCCTCACAAGAGACTGGCAGAGGCCTGGTGCCTGGGGCTGTTGGAGCAGAGACATGCCTGGAGCCCAGGCCACCCTCAGGGAATACAAGAAGAAAGAGAAGATTTACATATGTTTAATGTGTATAAAGCCAAGGAAAGGACAGTCCCAAATTCAATAGAAATATTCTGTACAATTCATGTGGTGGGGTTGAGAGGGAAGGGGAAGGGGCTATAGAACCCACACCCGAACATGTACAAAAATAACTTATACATAGCAAGCCCACGGGAAAGGACGATGCAGCTCTCTGCCCAGCCCCCAGGGCTGGGGGCCACATTACAAAAACAGCACTGTGGGCGCTGACCAGTGCAGGCCCCAGGTGCTGGTGGGAGTGGGGAGGGGCACGAGTCCCGGGGTGCCTATGAGGAGGCCTTGAGGCGGTTGGTGGCCGAGCGCGAGCTCAGCAGCTTGTCCACCATGGTGCGGGCGTAGCGCAGCCGGCTGGCCAGCTCCTTGCAGCAGCCGTACTCCTCGAGGAGGCTCAGGCGGTACGTCCGGAAGTCACGCTTCTCGTCGATGTAGGTCACAGCTGCCATCAGCGGGCACAAGATGAGTTTGGTATGGTCCTATACAGGAAGAAGGGAGGGAACTGAAGATCCCAGTTGCTAGTGTGTGGTGGGGGAGTAGAGGGGAGGAAGATGCCCCGGCTACTGCAGGGGGAGTCCCCCCGACTCCCTTCCTACTGCCTGCTGCCACGGACAGTACCCACACCTCCCACTCCCCACCCTGACTCTCTCCTCCGCGCTGGTTTACCTCCGGCTCACCTGGAAGAAGTTGATCTGCACACTGCCATTGCTGAGGTGCAGGATGATGGCGCTGCGGGTACGGAACCAGGTACGCAGGTAGGGTAGCCGGGCTAACTCATCGCCTTCCCGTGGCGTGATGTTGGCACCCGCTTTCAACAAGTGTTCGCTCATGTAATTTCGGAAATACTTCAAGAGGGTGATCTGGTTGAAAAGCGAGGGAGAGATTCCAGAATTGGAGTCTGACCCCTGGCACAGCCCCCACTCCTGGCAACACCAAGCCCCACAGGCCAGTCAGTACTCACCTTCTTCAACAAGGAGTTGGGATGGGAACTCACACTGAGGTAGGACTCAGTGCCGTCACGCTCTATGTACTGCAGGCTGTCACCATCGTTGTAGAGGATAAGGCGTGTTGAGTCATTGAAGAGAACCCCCACGCTGTTGTCACACAGCTGGTACCCTATGGGTGGGTGGAGGGAGACCTCAGACAGGGGGAGTAAGAAGTGGGGAGGCATTGGGATGGAGACAGGAGAGTGTTGAGAGAAGAGAACCTGGGAGCCAAAAAAGGCGAGCCTGTAACAACTTAAAGGGTCACTTGCCTGCACCTGAGCCACCCACCCTTTCTGGAAGAAACCTACCGAGGCCGTACTTGTCCGAATAGTCCACCCACTTGCTGACCCAGAAGATGGGGATGCAGGCGGGATCCTCAGCCTCCTCTGAAACAGAAACAGACAGACAACTTGTCAGGTCCAGCCTCTTCCCCTCTAGCCCACTCATGTGGCCCATACCAGGGACACCTGCTGGGCACCCCACCTGGGCTCAGTCAAGAGGCCTGGGACCCCAGAGAAGAGCAAAGCAAGGCCTCTGCTGATAAGCTCAGACAAGCAGCAGCACAGACATTTAAGCAGAAAGTTACAGCATGGTGCACCAAGTTCCACTCACTCCTTCATTCAGTTGACCCATTTATCGAAGGCCTACTCTGTACCAGGCACCGGTACAAGTATAGAGAACAAGAGACAAAAATCCCAGCCTTCACAGACCTTATACACTGAAGTTGTAGGGACAAAGACTTACCAAAATAAGTATGGATAAAATATGTAAGTTACTGCTATCATGGTAAGAGTCAGCAGCTGACATTATCTAGTTTTCTGGTTTGGAATGATTAAGAAACTGTAAGAATACGGACAATCCCAAATACATCAAAATGTTTAGTGCATGCAACAAATCTCCTATTTTACATACACTTAAGCAGAGGAGCTGCTGAGCTGTGCTGGGTGAGAAGCGTTATGAGAACTATGGAGCAGGTGAGGGGGATGAGAAGTGCTAGCAGTGGGAGGGCAGAGAGATGCTCCTGGTGGTGACACTGGAGCAGACACTTGAGGGAGGCCAGAGTGTGAGCCGTGCAGAGGTCGGGAAGAAGTGCATTCCAGGGGAGGCAGCAGTAGGGACAAAAGCCCTGAGGCTGGAGCACATCTGGGTCTGTTGTTTCAAGGGTCTTAAAGGATGAATAGGAATTTACTCAGCAGAAGGAGCAGGGTGTGCAAACATATGGAGGTGCTGGAGCAGAGTAAGAAGAGACAGATCAGAAAAATAAGGCAGAAGCCACGCCTGGGATGTCAGGCTAACTCATACGGATTTTGATTTACAGGAAATGGGGGATCCAAAGGTATTATGGAGTCAGAGGCTAGACAAGTCACCAACACCCTGTTGGCTGAGACTTCCCTGCCTTCTCCAGATGCCCCAGGCAAAGCTCCCCTGCCCAGGCCCCCCGGGTACCCACCTTGCCTCACCAGCCCTCTCTCTGAGGGCTTGGAAGCATTGACACTGTGTAGCTGCTGCAGCATATCACCAAGGTGGCAGTCGACAACCTCACCCGTCTCTCGAACCACTGGTTCCTCTTTCTCCCGGGGACGCTCAGGCAGGGGGTTCTCCATGCCTAGGAAGGTGACATAATCATTAGCAGGGCACAAAAATGGGGTTAGGGAGGGGCACAGGACTCCTTGCCACAGCTGGCACTCTTCCCAGAGAAAAACTCTTTTAGCTACCACTGCTTTGGGGAAACTGAGTCAGTGCCAGGTTATCAGAGCAGCAGCTGCCATGCTCATTTAACAGGTGCATGGTACTCACTGTGAGGCCACAGAGCGTCATATGCTCAGGCCTCTGACCTGACGTCGTGGCCCTGCAGACACAACCTGCCACTCAGGGAAAAAGCCTGAAGGCACCAGCAGCTCAGAGCTGCCCAGCTCCAAGCAAAGAATGAAAAGCATCTTCAGCATCCAGGAAGATGGGAGGACTGAGTAATCATAGGACCAATTCAGTAGGCATTTAAATGAAAATCTAGGAGATTTTCCACTTTACAATTTGTTTTATATGCTTATATATAACCAAAGAGTCTTGAAAAGATACACATTAAAATTTTAATGTTGGTTATATTTGGGTGGTAGATGAATGGATAATTTTTAATGTTTAATTTTTTACCCTAGCAACATGTGCTAATTCTCCTTGTATAATATGACATTTTTCTTACAGTTTTTGAATTCAAAAAAAATTTGTGAAATAATACCATATTAGGGATTTGCTTTAAAAAATCTAGCAAAAGTGGGGAGGGTTGAAATAGATAAAATATGTCTGGCCAAATGTTGATAATTACTGACAATGGATGAATATGTGTGGATTAATCATACAGTTCTTTCTACTTTTGGGTAAGTTTGAAAGTTCCCATAATAAGTTTTTTAAATGCTGTATATTCAAATATTAAAACCAAAAGAAGTAATCCTTAAAACAATAGTATTGCACAATAGCTCAAAGAATAAAATAAATATCCATGAGTCCATTACTAACATAAATAATCAAATAAATAAATAAATGAGAGAGAAGGGACAACTCTTCCTTACATAAGAATTCCAATCAGTAAATGCAGAAGAGTGAGGAAGAGAGAAAAACTGCAATTAGAATACCACTGTAATAACTGGTGCAGGCAAGATCCACCCATATGTGCTCAAATCAGTGGGCAACAGTTTGAGAAGAAATAAGACAGTATCAAAGTAGCTCCCTACAAGATAGTTACTAGTTATAGAAGAAAAAATAATAACTCTGCAGTGGAGAAACTCCTCAAATGCCACCTTAAAAAGTGATCGAGATTAACATCGCCAATAAAAAGAAAAAAACACAAGGACACTGGTACTTTGAGCTGGGAGTCTGCCAACCTCCTCATTTGCCAGGCAAGTTAATAAACTCCTCTTTCCTTCTCCTTGGAAGAAAAATGCCCACTGTCACCACTTCCATTCAATATAGTTCTGGAAATCCTAACCAGAGTAATCAAGCAAGAGAAAGAAAGAAAGAGTATCCAAAAAAAACAAAAAAAAAGAAACAACATGTACCCCTGATGTGATGCACAGAGAAGGGTTCATCACTTCTGTGGTATTCTTGTCAAAAATGCAGAACCTCGATGTAATCATGAGGAACACCAAATTTAAATGCAAGGACATGCTAGAAAATAACTTCCCAGTGCTCTTCAAAATGTCAAGGTCATGAAAGACAAAGACTCAGGCATTGGCATAGGTTAGAGGAAACTAAGGATACCTGACAACTAAAAATGCCACGTGGGGTCCTGAATGTGATCCTGGCACAGAAAAGAGGGTATTAGAGGAAAAAACTGAGAAAGTCTGAGCCAAGTCTGGAGTTTGACAGGAGTACTGTCTGAAGGTAAATGTCTTGGTTTCGATAATTTTTCTACGGTTATGCAAGATGCTGACTTTCAGGGCAGCTGGGTAAAGGTATAGGAACTCTGGTTTATTTATTTATTTTTTGCAATTTTTCTGTATAAGCCTAAAATTATTCCAAAATAAAGTTTTAAAAAAACCAAGTAATCCCTAAAAATTGAAAACTAAAATAAATGAACTTAAGTTGTACATCAAAATGGTGATATATCCACAGAGAAAAAAAATATTTCAAGTAACTTTTTAAAAAACTATATATTCTTAGTGAAATATATTCTAAAGACATATGGAACTGCAAGAAAATAAAACATTTAATTTAATAACAGAAACTACTTTATATATGATGAAAAATTCAAGTATACTAATGTAAGGAAACAAGATTTTCAGTTTAAGACAAAAGAAATACACATATAAAAATCAAAGAAGTAAAAATCTGTTAATACATCTGAATCAGGCACTTAAAAATTACCAAAGAAAAGCAGTAACTCCACAGTGGAAAAAATGATTGCTATAAGACAATATCGTATCAATGTTAAAGCTCCTGAACTTGATAACTGTAACTGTGTCATGTACTGTGGTTATGTAAAAGAACCTTTGTTTTTAGGAAATATACACTGAATTATTACATTAAGAGTAAAGGACAGAATGCATGCAACTTGCTCTCAAATGATTCAGAAAAACATATATAGAAAGAGACTGATAAAGCAAATATGGAAAGAAATGTTAATTGATGAATCTGGACAGGGAGGGTACAGGAGATTTTCATCTATTCCACCTTTTTGTAAGCTTGAATTATTATCAAAATAAAATGCTTTAAAAAAATTGAACCAGAAATATCACAAACTCAAGGTTTTATCCCCCCACACATGTTATTTCCTGATTCTGTCCTCTGAAGAGACCTAGAAGCAATGGCCACCTAAGCAGTGGCATATGGTTTTATAAGAAAATGTCCATCTGTCTTAAGAGATGCACTCTAAAGCTTATAGGGCTAAAATGGCAAGATTTCTGGGGCTAACTTTTAATACTTCAAAGAAACAAAACATGATAAATGAAGCAAATGTGACAAAATCTTGATAATACTGAATCTGGTGGGAACCAGGGGGTCATCTATTGCATTATGCTCTATGTGTATATTTGAAAATTCTTATTTTTTTTCCAATGAAACATGTAAGAATAATATTAGGAATTTTTTAAAGTGATCAAAAAGAACTTTTCAGGCTTGGTATTCAGTCCATTTTCTTTTTCCTGGTCCCAGTGGGTTTATCCAGCCATATTAAAGTCTATCTTTCCTGACAGGGCTGAGGGGCAGAAGGGCATGGGGACCATGGATTTAAGGACAGAGGACTTAAGGCCACACCTGAGCTCTGGGAGCCAGGGAGGAAGCTGCACATACACCTAAAGCCTGGGCTCTCTCTGTGCTCTGCTGTCTTGCCCAGACCCTTGTTTTACCTTTATTGAGGACTGTGAGAGGTTTCCGGTTGCTGGGGTCCAGGGTGCTGGGAGCGATTGAAAACCTCGGTGGAATGGTGAGGCAGGTGATGGGGAGCCGGGCAGGGATGTAGCCAGAAGTAAAGAACTCGTCGTTGAGCAGCTCATTAATGGTTGGGCGGGCAGTGGGATCTGTCTGAAGCATCTTCTGGATGAGGGAGGCGGCCACAGGGTTGACGTGCTGGGGCAGAGAGGAAAGCCATAAGCAGAACATGAGGGGGACCCCAAGGACAGCACTGCCACAAAAGGAGTGGAGGCCCCAAGCCAACAGGCCCCTGATCTCAAATATGCCACAGTTTCAGTGGTTCTGAACTTCGTTCAATGCCAAGAAGAGTCAATGGGCTACGGCTTAGCACAAGGCAGATGCACGGTAACAGCCCAGCATCAACTCTGCCCTTACAAGGTGCCAGAAAAGCATTCTAAGTACTTCCTGTGTTTAACTCATTAAAACATCTAAGGGCAGGGATCTCTATTATCATCCCTTTTTTTTTGCAGATGAGGAAACTGAGGCACAGGGAGGACGAATGCAATGTCTAGTTAGCTTGAGCCATTCCATGCTCTGTCTGACAGTAAACTGACCCTTTGTAACAGAATTACTGTGTCTGTCCTTATGAGTGACAGGCCTCTTGGCTTTACACAGGACACTAAACTGGCAAGTGGCACTGTGCTAGGCTTCTGCAGGAACCAGCTATTCCTTTAAATGCATTTATGCCAGTAGTTGTGAAAATGCACACCACTTTGCTGTTGGTAAGCCCTTGGATTCACAGTGGTTCACGATCTGTGAGTGTTTACTATATGCAAGGCACTCTGTGAGGTGCTCTGAGGCAGTAACTCCATTTTATAGAAGGGAAACTGGTTCAGAAGACTCAGGCCATTTGTCCAACATGATCTGGCTGCTAACTGGCAGAGTCCATTTGAATTAAAACAGTCTGTTTCCAAAGCTGAAGTACTTCTGCCTCCCCCCTACTCTCTCCTCTGCCCTTTGTTTTTTGCTTTTTACAATTTTGGGGGTTATCTACCCAATCTCTAAGAATCTGCAAACTCTCTCCCTCTAGAAAAAATGCTATGTGCACATACATGTGAAGTTCTGTTTGCAATTGCAGACATAGACCCTCTAAAGTTCTGTGGCTACCCCAGGGGTGGGACTGATCTACCTCTGTCCCCAGGATATAGCTGGGCTCAGTAAATAGCTTTTGGGGAAAAAAATAAATTAAAACTTAAAGTGCTACTAGTCACCTTGGGAATACTGTATTCATTCTTCTTGATCCGGAGGTAGGTCTCTTTTAGGCAAGAGGTCTCAAAAGGTGGTTTGCCCACTAACAACGTATACCTGTAAGCACAAGGTGGGATTTGGCTCAAGGATCCCAGACAAAACCCACACATAGGAGGAATCATGTCGCGGCCAGAACAAAGGCCAGGCGTCCATGGACATGCACTCTGGGGCCCCTAAAGACAATCCTCAAGTCCACTTAGCAGCCCCAGGAGCCAGGACACTGACTGGGATGAGCCCTCAGTAGAGTACAAGTGACAAGACCAGGACTCTTATGGACTTGGTGGTTTTCAACTATGGCCGGCAATAATCTAGGACTCTGTGCAAGGGCCTCAGAGGCTGCTGGCCATAAAACCAGGTCAAAGTGGGTGGGCTTTCTGCTCCTATAGAAGCAGCTCCACGTTTAGCAGTTCTGTACTTAAGGCTTAAAGTTTCATTTGAAAAAAATCTCCACTACAAAGAAGTATGAAAGCCATTGGTACGATTCATTTCTAACTCTCCAGTACCAAGCCAAAAACAACAAAAAAGATAACATCTGAAAGGGCCCAAACCTCTGCCTGCCACCGACCCCCTCTGATGGTCTCAATCCAGACAGTCCACAGGCAGCTCATCCTGCCAACCATAACTCCTGGCTTAATTGCTCCCACCCAATGTGGATTAGTGTCTCTAAAACTTTATTGTACATGGGAATCACCCAGGGATCTTGTTAAAATCCAGATTCTAGTCCAGTAAGTAGTCTGGGTCCTGAGATTCTGTACTTCTAACAGGTTCCCAGGTGATGCTGCTGCTGGTCTGTGGACCACTCTAGCAAGGGGCTAAAGCAAGGCTGTAGAGCCCCTCCCTTCCCCTTCTCTGGACCCACAGCCCAGGCTGCAAGAATCTGACAGGATATACCAGAGTGACAAGGAAAGATACAGAACTTAGGCTCTGTGTAGGGACAGCCTGTCCTCTGGAGCAGCCTTTCCACAAGGTGGAAAGGTCAGCCAGGTAAGATGTCCCAAAGGGCCCTCCTAGGCCAAGCAGGTCCTAAGACATCTCCCAACTTACATGATGCACCCAATGGACCACACATCCACCTCGAAACTGTGCCCTTTCTTGCTCAGCACCTCAGGAGCTATGTAATTAGGAGTCCCACACAGGGTCTTCTTCCGCTCCCCATCATATTCGACTTTGGTTGCCAGTCCAAAATCCCCTGGGACAGAGGGAGAACAGTGGGTACTCAGATGCCAGTCTCTGCCATCTGTCAATGCAGACAGCTGGTTCAGGTCTGAACATCAAGAACCAGGGTCATTTGATCTCACGTGCCTCTGCTCCTGGTATGCAGACTGGCTTGCCCAGGAATCCTCCCACCACGCTGGCCCCAGGGAGGTACATCCTGTGACCCTTCTCATCCCTCCCCTTAGAAAGGAGGGAGGGCTATGCTTCTTAAAGGGAATTGACAGGGATAGCAAAACTCAAATGCTTTCAAGGATCAAGCAAGTAACCTCCAAGACTGCTACTTGGCAGGTCCGCGAAAAAGTAATAGGGAAGGGTGGAGACTGTGGCAAACCAGAGGGAGTCTAATGGGGCCAGTTGCTTTTTAGCCCAGCAAAGAGCTGCCCTAAGGAAATGCTGTCTGTATTACTGGAGCTTCCAAATGTTTAAAAGGAGCTCCAAATCCAAATTTGTATGTCAAGCCTCCCAATTTAAAAAATGGCAACAAATTCAAATTCTTTTTTTAAAAAATAGTGCAGTTGGGGCACAAAAATAATGCATCTGCAGGCAAGATACTGGCTTGTGGGCTCTTCGTTTTAGATTTCTGGACTAAAGAGAATTCTGGAAGTAATCAACAGCCCAGACTTCCTACTATTCTTTTCCTTCCTCCTTGTCTCCTTCCTATTTCCTTTTTCCCAGCCTCCTCCAAATTCCTACCTCTTGTAGTGGTGTGTCAAGCAACCCTGCAGGCCCAGCACCTCACCTATTTTCACCTCCAGGTCCTCATTCAGGAAGAGGTTGCCCAGCTTGAGGTCCCGATGAATAACTCGGTTTCGATGCAGGTACTGGCAGCCAAGCACGATTTGCCTCAGGTAGTATCGGGCCTCAGGCTCGGTCAGGGCTTTCCTCCGTTTGTGCAGCTCCAGGAGAGACTAGGGGGTGGAGAGGAGAGAGCATGATGAATGGGGAGTCAATATTGAGGCCCAAGGGGGAAGAGTTGCTAGGTAAAGGCTGCCCAGGACTGGACCCTGGACCCCCAGGGGATGAAGGAGAGGTTATGGCTGGTTTTCTCAGAACTCCTTCCCCGACCACCCCCAGCTTCATTTTCCAGGACAACTGGGATCTGGATCCTGCCCTAACATTGGCCACAGCCATTCACAGCACTCCCTCTCCTACTTGTCTCTCCCTTACCTGGCCCCACTCCGGAAGCTCAGAGTCCCCAGTATCCCCTCCCAGGGTCTCCTCCCAGCAACAGATCCTTTTCCTGACTCCTCTTTCCCCCGGAAGCTCTGAAGTCTGGCTCCAACCACCCCCTGCCTGACCCAGCCCGATTCCAGAAGCTCGGGGTCCACCGCTATCCTGAGACTCCTCTCTCTTGGCACTCCGGGGCTCTAGCGTCCATTGCCAGCACCCCGGACCAACATCTCGCGTCTGGGAGCCAACTTCCCTAAGCAGCAACATGACTCAGACTCCACTTAACTGGAACCCCCGCCCCTAGCAGTTCCAAGTGCCAAACAACCCTTACTGGAGAGCTTTTCCATCCCTAGCTGGAGGTTCCCAGCACCCTCCTCCAGCAGCTCAAACTCCCGGGCACTCCTTTCCCAAGCAGTCCTTCCCAGCGGCTCTGGGTCAGGGCGCCCCAGCCCCAACCCCGGCACCCAGGCAGCTCCAGTCCTCCAGGAGCGACACTCACCCGCCGGCGGCAGAGCTCCAACACCACGAACACAAAGTCGTTGTCCTCGAAAAAGCCATGGAAGCCTACGACGTGCTGGTGTGCAAGGCTGCGGTGAATGGAAATCTCCATGGACATCTTTTCCTTCTGGTGCGGCTTGAGCAGCAGAGACTTAGGCACGATCTTGCCTGCAAATACCTCCTTGGTGTCAGCGTCCGAGATCTCGAAGCACTTGGCGAAGCCGCCCTTACCCAAAAAGCGCCCCCGCACATAGCGCCGCCGGCTGCGTGGGTCCACTAGGACCTCCGGGATCTCTTTCGCCGGTGGAGCGGCCGCCGGGGCCCCAGGAGCTGCAACTCCGGGGACTCCAGCTTTGCCTGGGTCGGTTTGTGCCCGTGCCAGCTTCCCCGCAGTCGCCGCTGCACTCATGCTCCTGGAGTTGCTCAGCTGCCTTAGCAGGGTAGGGGCAGAGGCACCGCACAGCTCCTCTCCTCCCCGAATTCAAACGCGGCTCTGGGAACGTTACAAAAGCCTGCGCGCCACTGATTGGCCGCGGGGATTTAAAATCCAAACCCGCCCGCCGCGCGGCACCATGGGAACGCTCTACACCGCAGCCGCCTTTAAACCCGGACCCAGCAGGGGAAAAAACTTGATTGACAGGGGCGTGCAGACAGCAGGCACGTGGGATATCCTGGGAAACCACATGCCCACACCCAGCCCCAGCAGAAGGGGAATTCGTTCAGGGCTTCTCCCTTCCTAGGCCAGCCGGGAAGCTCCTGCAGTTCACATGCACCTCCTCCAGGAAGCTTTCCCTAACACCTTCCTCCACCCGCACCCCACCTTCTAGAATATAAACTCTAAGAGCAGAGACCTGGCAGCACCAAGAGGCAGCTTAGGATAGATAACCTTAGCACTTGCCTCCAATGCCATCAGCTCTGCGCCAAGCCACCCCAAATAAACTAAAATCTAAATAAAAACAGGATGCGTGCCAGGCAAAATGCACCTTCAAGGTAAGTCCCCATCCCTTCTTCAAATAACTGCTGCTCCCGAGCTCCTGTGTTTACAGGGCAACGCTGCTTCAAGTACAGTCCAGGGACCCACAGCATCAGCATCACCTGGGAGCTTGTTAGAAAGGCAAAGGCAAATGTTCAGGCCCTACCCCAGACTCCCGTCAGAATCTGCCTTTCGACAAGCCTACTCAGGTGATTCCCACACACTGAAGCTTGAGGAACAGTGTACCAGAGTCCCCAGTGACGCAACAAAGCTGCCCGGCCTGCTGCTGTATAGTATTTCCCAGTGCCTAAAATAGTGGACACTCAAGTTTTTAGTCAGTGGGAGAGATAGTTGGAAGAATGCCTCACAAACTGGCAGGTCATGGCCAAATGTGTCCTGCAGGGGTGTTTTGTCTGGCCTCCTACTTTTTAAAATTGGAACTCATTTATAGGATTTAAAGAGAGCTCACATAAAAATTCAGGTCTGTGGCTTGTCCTGAAAAAATATTAGAAGCTGTAGCAACTCTCTCAGTTTGCCACAGTTCCTAGCTGCCCTTCCTTGCCTGTTTGCCTGTCTGGCTTCTGTAAGTACTTGAGTGGCAACCTTGGAACGGCAAAATATCCAGGTTAGAAGCTTTTTCGCTGTCCCCCCTTTGCACCCTGTGAGGCCCGCGATGGAGCCCAGCAAAAATCATCCATATTCTAAGCATCCTTTACCTGCCTCCCAATTAACTGGACTGACAATGATGTCAGTGATGCTGTCTTTTCCACCCATGTCCCAAGCTCCCAGCGCAATGCTTGGTAAAAAGGGGTATTACTAAAGTGTTTGCTGAATGAAAGGAAGATTTTTAAAAATTAAGTTATTATTTTGTATCCTTATGGTGTAAATTCTTCTATTTTAACTTTTTGTTGAAATTTAATATAGTTACAGAAAAATATACATATAATTGTACAGCTCAGTGAATTTTCACAAACGGACACACCCATTATAAACCGCACCCAGACTGAGAAAGAGAACACTACCAACACCCCACAAGTCTCCCTTGTGCTGTGTTGGGGGTACTCAACACCACCTCCCAGACTGAAGATTCACTGGGAGATTCAGACATGGCATGCAGTCACGCTAATGGCTACGCTTTATTACAGTGAAAGGCTATGCAGCAAAATCAGCAAAGGAAAAGGCCCATGGGCCAAACCAGAGAAAGGTGCAAGCCTCCCAGAGTCCTCTCCCAGTGGAGTCACACAGGACACACTTAATTCCTCCAGCAATGAGTTGTGACAGCCCGTGTGAAATGTTGTATACCAGGGAAGTTCACTAGAGACTGAGTGTCCAAGGTTTTTATTGGCACTGTTCATATCATCATCCTCTAACACATAACAAAAATCCCAGAAGGAAAGCAGGTGTTCAGCATAAACCACACTATTTGCACAGTTTAGGTCTAGTGAGCTACCAATTATCATTTAGCAAATGGTGAGAACCCTCCTGAAATCCAAGCTCCTAGATGCCAGCCAAGGGCCAATCTTGCAAACAGGCCTTTCCAAGGAGAGCAGTTGCAGGCCCGCTTTATTATCTCTTCTGGACAGTCCACCTCCTAGCTGAGGTTTCTTACAGCAAAATTATCATCAGTAGGACCCCATGCAAAAAGGTGAGACAAATCTGCAGTATGGACCTCAGTTCTGCCTGTTAGCGGTCTTGAATTAAGCCAGTTAAATAAATCCCATTAATCATAAAAGTCTATCTTAGAAAACCAGGTGCCTTTCTCCTTAAGTTTCTGTATGGACCTTTTTTATCTGATCCTCTGGAATCAATTCAGGGGCAGTACAACTCTGGCTAATATGCTGAATGCTTTCCAGGCCTGAGGCGGTGTCATGATAGTGAAGGTCATGTGCAAAAGTATAGTCCCAGGGCACAGGTAGTACTCCTGCAAAAAGAATTTGCAATGTTAGGGCACCCCCAGCAGGACATACATTAGTCAGGCAGTATAGGTTAACAGGCTCCCAATGTGGCCTCCAACCATGAGGCCTTCTGCCCTGGTGTTTCAGTCCCATCTGAAAACTCCCTGGAGTCCTTTGCTTCTGAGGGACTGCCTGAAGGCAGTGAGTTCCTAACAGTTTTGCTTGTTCATGATACAAATCTATCCATCCCACAAGTATGGATGACATTTGAAGGTGTTCTTCCTGAAAAGTGCTGGAGCTGGGGCCCCCCTCTGTTGTCGGTCTGAACTCAGAGAACTCACAGCATGTGGAAAGGCAGCACTAAGAATTCTCCTTCGGGAAGAGGAAGCTTCCAGGAATGTTGTGAAGAACAAAGATCAATCCTGAGATGCCAGGTTTTAATTTTTTCTCCAATGTTGCAAAATCAGTGTGCCCCATTCTGCAATCCTAACTTTATATTTTTTCAATCATCACTTACTCTTAGCCAGGCCTTTCGTCTCGAAGAGTTGTGTGCAAGAGGCACAAAAGCATGTTTACAGATAAACATTTTCACACAACTGTAACCAGAAAGATACATTCAGGAATTGGTAACTATGTGTTGTGGGCTGAATTGTGAATCATCTAAATTCATATGTTGAAGCCCACACCAATAGTATCTCAGAATGTGACTATATTTGGAGATAGGCCTTTTTACAGAGGTGATTAAGTTAAAATGGGATTTTTTTTTGGGGGGGGGCGCCTAATCCAATATGACTGGCATCCTTATAAAAAGAAGAGATTAGGACACAGACTCACAGACAGAGGGACCGTGCAAGGACACAGCCAGAAGGCAGCCATCTACAAGCCAAGGAGAGAGGCCTCAGGAGAAACTAAACCTGCCGACACCTTACTTTTGAACTTCTAACCTCCAGAACTATAAGAAAATAAATGTCTATTATTGTTTAAGCCCCCCAATTTGTGGTATTTTGTTTCAAGAGCCTTAGCAAACTAATAAAGGGTGAAATCCTGAATTTTCAAAATTTCAAAATGGGTTTATGTAACTTTCTACCCCTTTTGTCCTCAGTGAGCAGCCAAGAAAAGAGAAATCCCTTTTTGGGGACAGCTACATTTTAATCATCAACGTACCTTATTAAGGTGTGTGTACTGGGGGAAAAGTGAAGGAAGTAGAGTCAGTCCACTGTTGCAAGCTGCAACTAACGCAGAAAGCTGAACGCAGAGTCAACAGCAGCGAGGCAAGCCCCAGAGAAGGTCCAGAGTCAGATCTGTTAAAAACAGAAGGAGGGGGGCCGGGCACCGTGGCTCATGCCTGTAATCCTAGCACTCTGGGAGGCCGAGGCGGGAGGACTGCTTGAGCTCAGAAGTTCGAGACCAGCCTGAGCAAGAGCCAGACCCCATCTCTACTAAAAATAGAAAAATTAGCCAGGTACCGTGGTACGTGCCTGTAATCCCAGCTACTCAGGAGGCTGAGGCAGGAGGATCCTTGAGCCCAGGAGTTTGAGGTTGCAGTGAGCTATGATGATGCCACTGCACTCTACCCAAAAAAAAAAAGGAGGAGAGGTCACAGTCCCTGTGATGTGTCCTTCTTCAACTTGCAGCTTTTGGTAAGGATCACAAGGCAATTAGACTCAGCATTAGAGGCAAAAAGCTATCAGCAGCTTGATTTTAGATGGTCCCATTAGAGAACAAACCCTTTCCTGTGGGCATTTGTATGTGACCCAGATGGTCCAGCCAGGTTCCAGGATGTTTTCATAGTTTAGAGCTCCACAGAGGGGGTCCTAAATCGCCAACGGCCCAAGAGTCTGAGTTCCCGTTCATTGAACCTGTGTCCGCTTTCAGTGCAGCATAGTTCACGCTGAGGCTGAAATAGCTCACGGCAGACAGTAGCAGGTTTCAGCTTAGAGTCAGGTCTAGGTAATCCGGATCTGTAATTCAGGATTCCAAGCAAGCCAGTTGCTTTTCTTCAGTGACAGCAAAAGTACACTGCAGTGCTAGACAGCTGTGGTCCAAGTCCAAATGACATGCCAGGCTTCCTTTTTATCTTGTCAGTCTTAGAGTACAAACTGACCCACTCAAAAATAGGCACATCAGACTAGAAAATCATCAACCTCTAAGGGTCAGATATTTGATTTTGACAAGGGCTCATTAGCAACTTAACTGCATTTTCAAATTCCAAATATGTAGTTTCATCTAGAGAGTTCCTCTCTTTTCATGTTGTCTCTCTCTTTCCAGAGGCTCCAGCAGGCACCAATCATAGCAAAAACCATCAGTTACAGAGACTCGTTCTGGTTCCAGTACCCAAAGAATTTAAATTCCAACCCACCCGCTGGTGGCAAAAAGCAAGCAAGTTGTATCCCACTAACACTTTTCTTATTTTATTTTTGTGTAGCTTTCTTTGATTGGGATAATCCCTCTTAACATTTATGAAATTACAAACATAACATTTTAAATCAATTTTATCATATATCAAGATGTAATAAGACACAAAATGCAAAGCCATTTCAA